GGTGCAAAAATTTTTTGAAATCCATGCATAGTTTTTTTCGTAATATGCATGAAGTTTCCTTATATGCTTAGGTTTCAGTACTTTTGCACCTGAATAAATTGATTTCTTTATTTAATCTTCCATGAAACATTTGACGTACTTTTGGAATAGGTTCTCTGCAAGTGTCATTTTTCTCTATCTTGTCTTTCTCCTGCTATTCTCCAAATATAAATGGAGGATCCACCAAGGTATCTGTCCACTAGAGGACTTGAGAATCCGAACACCCAGAAGCAATGAGCACACCTAACATCTGGGACTTGGCTTTTAAATACCATTTTCTGCTAAATGATTGATCCTGGGGTAGGGCAGAAAATGTTTAAAGTGAACCTGGAAGATCTTGTACTATACACATGTATTAAACATTTTTTGTCTATAGAATGGGGTTGGCCTGTGCACTAGGCTGTATTTGCACACTATACAGGTTAGAGGACATGGAAAATCCTGCTTCCGAGAGACCATGAACACTTTGAAGTGATCACCACGGGACAATGTTCATCTTAAAGACAGTATTTATAAGTGACTTATCCTTAGAAAAATTTTGGTTTGTGCTCCATCAGGGTTCCCCAATCTATTGGAACCACTCAGGGAGTTACTAGAAAATTCGGATTCCAAAACTCGATCTCAGGTCTATTGGGACCAACCAAATCTGGGAGTCCCTGTTCTAGGAAATTCTCACCGGCAGTTCTGACAGTTGGCTAAGTATTCTAACCTCTGTCCTGTGTGTCACTGAGATGTTGGCACGTTAATTTGGTCTCTTGGGTAAAAGAAGAGGGAGAAGTGGAAACAGTCACTGCAAGCTTCCTTTGGGAGAATTCCCTTGAGAGCATGAACTCTAAGTCAGCCAATACCGCAGCAAGGTTTCATCAGCCCCAGCAAGCACCAGCTCTGAAGTGAAGGCGTTTGTCTCTCTGGACTCTTTTCAGAATACCTCTTGGTGAATGGTTTCTGACTCAGAGCTGCAGCAAAATGACAAATGGCATGCCTAATCTTGATGCCTTTACATAGTAAAACTCTTAAGCAGCAAGGTATCTGATTCAGTTGCCTGCTCCTAACTCCTTCACTTCCCCTTTCTTCCTGAACAATCCAGTCTTCCAGTCACGAGTGGGGTACAGCAAAGCAGGCATCCATGGTGGTGCTGGTGGGGAGCTGCGGAGGCCCAGAGGGGCTGCCTGGTGTGCAGTGTCAGCACCTGCGTAGGTGAGCAGGTTACCAGGCAGCAGCAGTGCGTAAGTGTGTGCCAGGGGCTTCCACACAGCAGGGAGATGTGGTGTGGGGGGCTACAGACTAAGCTGGGGGAGCTGGGGAAGGGGCACAGGAAGGGGAGACAGAACAGGATGACAAGAAAACACCCTCAAGAGGACACAGGGGATTGGCCAAACATGTAAATACAGTCGTCCTTCCTATCCTTGGGCTGTCACTTCCGGGACCCTTCACAGATACCAAAATCCATCATGTTCGAGTCCTTTATATACAATGGCCTCATATGTGCATGCAACCTACACACATCCTCCGGTACACTTTTAGATTACTTATACAACCTAATGTAATGTACATGCAGGTTACACTGCATTCTTTAGGGAATAACAAGTATAGACGCAATCTATTGTTGGTTGAATCCACAGATAAGGAACCTGTAGATAAAGGGGACTGAGTATATTAAAGAATAATGGAGGGGCCGGCGCTATGGTGCAGTAGGTTGATCCTCTGCCTGCAGTGCCAGCACCCCATATGGGCGCTGGTTCTAGTCCCGGCTGCTCTACTTCTGATCCAGCTCTCTGCTGTGGCTCGGGAAAGCAGTGGAAGATGGCTCAAGCGCTTGGGCCCCTGCACCCATGTGGAAGACCTGGAAGAAGCTCCTGGCTCCTGGCTTAGGATCGGCTTAGCTCGGGCTGTTGCGGCCGTTTGGGGAGTGATGAACCAGCAGATGGAAGACTTCTCTCTTTGTCTCTTCCTCTCACTGCCTATAACTCTACCTCTCAAATAAATAAATATATTTTTAAAAAAATAGAAGCTGACTTCTCAGAAGAGGACATCACAAATACAGAAATGGATGAGAGCAAACTCATACTTTTAAGTAGATCTAAACACATACACATATAATTGTATATACATATGTGTACACACACATATCTGTCCACTGAGGAGCTGAGAACAATAACACCCCAAAAGCAATGCTAACAGCTAACATCTGGGTCTTGGCTTTTCAATACCATTTTCTGCTAACTGATTGATTCCTGGACTATGGCAGAAACAGTTTAAAGTGAGCCTGGAAGCTCTTGTACTGGAAAGCAAGATAGTGTTCAGGGATTGAGACGGATATATCAGATGGACACAGAAGCCAGCTTCCACAATTTGATCATGAAAGAAGCAAGGGATTAATTTGATAGTGACGGATGCATGATCCACTGAATCACAGAGGAAACTATGAGTCTAGACAGGTATAAATAAGCAAATGAGCAACTTGAGGGCCTGCGCTGTGGCTCACTTGGCTAATCCTCCGCCTGCAGCACCGGCATCCCATATGGGCGCCGGGTTCTAGTCCTGGTTGCTTCTCTTCCCGTCCAGCTCTCTGCTGTGGCCCAGGAAGGTAGTGGAGGATGGCCCAGGTGCTTGGGCCCCTTCACTTGCATGAGAGACCAGGAGAAAGCACCTGGCTCCTGGCTTCGGATTGGCGCAGCGCCTGCCATAGCAGCCATTTGGGGAGTGAACCAACTGTCTATAACTCTACCTGTCAAATAAAAAAAAAATAAGCTACTTGAAATTTGATAAGGAACAGGTTAGTTCCATAATTTTAAAGATCTCCCCACAAAATACTAGCTGGGGAAGCCTGGAAGCCACTATCTTAATCAAGTGACCAAAGTGAGCACTGTCAATAATGGATAAATAATATGCAATGAAATAAACACAACACCACTTCCTTAATAGCCCCATGGAAGTTGCAGAACCTGAATCTCATAAGGAAAAAATATCAGACAAAACCAAGCTGATGTGTGGTCTGCAGAATAATTAACTTGTAATTTTGAAAAATATCCAGGCCGTGAAAGCAAAGACAAGATGGAAGAACTGTTGTAAGCTGAATGAGACCAAAATGCTGGGTGATACTGAACTGGATCCTTGGGGACAATTGGGACAGTTGGAAAAGGTAACAGAGTGTGAGGAGTAATAGGAGAATGGTAACAGTGTTAATTTCCTGACTGTGATGGTTGTGGCTGTTGCAGTCTGTGTCCTGATTTGTAAGAAAGACACTCTAAGTGTTTGGGAATTGAAGGGCATCATGTCAACGTACTCTAACAGTTCAGGTGGAAAAGTGCCCTGTGCCACGTTTATACTTTTCTGTAATTTTGTGATCACTGCAAAAAGTTTTTTGTCAAGAGAAAAAAAATCTGCACAGTAGGATCTGGTCCCCACAACAGTTCTCTAGGTCATAATCTGGATGAACCTGCATTATTTTAGAATTGATTTGCTTAGATTCAGCCAATATGTAATGCTCCATATAAGTGCGAGGGTTTGCTATATCTTAAATAAACTGATAGACAAAAAAGACACGTCAGATGACACTTTCACATGTGAAAGCAGAAAGTAAAACTGGGATACAACCACTAGAAAAATAAATATATTTTCTGGTCTTTTCTTTTTTTTATTATTTTTTTTATTTTTTTATTTTTTTTTATCTTTTATTTAATGAATATAAATTTCCAAAGTACGACTCATGTGTTACAATGGCTTCCCCCCCATACCGTCCCTCCCACCCACAACCCTCCCCTTTCCCACTCCCACTCCCCTTCCATTCACATCAAGATTCATTTTCGATTATCTTAATATACAGAAGATCAGCTTAGTATACCTTAAGTAAGTATTTCAACAGTTTGCTCCCACACAGAAACATAAAGTGAAAAATAATAGATGATTTTTTTTAAATGATGATGAAATCAGATCAGACCTATTGTCATGTTTAATCCCAGTGAGAGTCAAGTTGGGGAATTGATAATTTCTTCTTCTTCTTTCGTTATTTATTTTTTTTACAGAAGATCAGTTTAGTATACATTAAGTAAAGATTTCAGTCGTTTGCACCCCCATAGAAACACAAAGTGAAATATACTGTTTGAGTACTTGTTATAGCATTAAGCCTCAGTGTACAGCACGTTAAGGACCGAGATCCTACATGAGGAGTAAGTGCACAGTGACTCCTGTTGTTGACTTTACCAATTGACACTCCTGTTTATGGCATCAGTAATCTCCCTATGCACCAGTTATGAGTTTCCAAGGCTATGGAAGCCCCTTGAGTTCTCCGACTCTTATCTTGTTTAGACAAGGTCATAGTCAAAGTGGAGGTTCTCTCCTCCCTTCAGAGAAAGTCACCTCCCTCTTTGAAGACCTGTTCTTTCCACTGGGATCTCACTCACAGAGATCTTTTTGCCAGAGTGTCTTGGCTTTCCATGCCTGAAATACTCTCATGGGCTTTTCAGCCAGATCCGAGTGCCTTTAGGGCTGATTCTGAGGCCAGAGTGCTATTTAGGACATCCGCCATTCTATGAGTCTGCTGAGTATCTCACTTCCCATGTTGGATCACTCTCCCCTTTATTTATTCTATCGGTTGGTGTTAGCAGATACTAGACTTGTTTATGTGCTCCCTTTGACTCTTAGTCCTTTCATTATGATCAATTGTGAACTGAAATTGATCACTTGGAGTAGTGAGATGGCATTGGCACATGCCACCTTGATGGGATTGAATTGGAATCCCCTGGTATGTTTCCAACTCTACCAATTGGGGCAAGTCAGCCCGAGCATGTCCCAAATTATACATCTCTTTCCTGGTCTTTTCTTATAAGGTTTGTTTATTTTGTTTGAAAGGCAGAGTTATAGAGAGAGAGGGAGAGATAGAGAGATCTTCCAACTACTGGTTTACTCCCCAAATGACTGCAACAGCCGGAACTGGGCCAGACCAAAGCCAGGAGCCAGAAGCTTCTTCCAGGTCTCCCACATGGGTGCAGGGGCCCAAGGACTTGAGCCATCTTCTACTGCTTTCCCAGGAGCATTAGCAGGGAGGTGGACCAGAAGTGGAGCAGTTGGGACTTGAACTGATGCCCATATGGGATGCTGGCACTACAGGCAGTGCTTTACCCACTATGCCACAGTACCAGCCCCTATTTTCTGCTCTTTATTAAAGGAGTTTTTAAAAAACATTAATTTGGATAATAATCAATTAAACTTTTATTTTCTTTTGTACATGTTTTTGTAATGGCGTATCCCGGTAAAAACTTTGGCTAACGGACTAGCTCATCTGATTTAGAAAGAAAATCTAAGCCATTCTAACCACTGGGCCTTCCTTCAGCTCATCCCTTGTGTCCGGGGAGTGAGTGTACAGAATGTCAGATTCATTCATTGTCATCGTGTGCTTGTGACATCTCACCGTCCACCTCGAAGTACCCTCCCAGGATCCGAGATCTTCTGTGGGTGCTTTCCATCCCAAAGATCTTTGTTTCATGACAAGAAGAAAAGATTTTTTCAAAAGATTTATTTATTTGCTTATTTATGTGAAAGGGATGTGACAAAGGGAGGGGGAAGCAAAAGGGGTGGGGAGAGGTAGCTTCCATTCACTGGTTTACTCCCCAAATACCCTCAACAGCCAGGGCTATGCCAGGACAAAGCCAGGAGCCAGGAACTGATCCTGATCTCCTACATGGGTGGCAGGGGCCCAGGTGCTTGAACCATCACCTGCCACCTCCCAGGCACAGTAGCAGGAAGCTGGACAGGAAGTGGAGGCGGGACTCGAATTGGCACTCTGACAAGGGATGTGGGCGTCTGAAGGAGTGGCTTAGCCTGCTGCGCCACAACACCCACCCTGAAAAGATTTTTAAGAAGAAAAATTTTAAGTAGTCCCACTAGAGGCTAGTATCTAAAAAAGAAAAAATCCTGTTCCCTTCGAGGTAAGATGTTAGCTGGTCACCTTGACCCTGATCCAGAAGGCCTGGTGGAATCCTCCAGCTCTGAAGTAGTGTCAGGCATAATAGGTTCTTTTCTCTTTTTCCTCTTTTTCTTTTTATTTTAACTCTGAGCTCCGTGTCCATGCTTTGGTCCTCATGCAGCTGCCCTGACTTGAGGGCAGATTCTCATCAGAGGACACTGTCTTGCATTGCGCTCAAAGGATGCTTTTCAGGTCATGGTCATTATGCTTCTCCCCAGAGGCTGCTCCACGGATGATGCGGCTGCCTTGACATCACGTTGTCTACTGCAGGGAGCACTATACGATATCCTCTGGTATATGAGGGTGCTTTTCCTTTAGTTTTGAACCTTGTACACTTCCCTTCCTCTTTGCTTTTGCTTCTGAGTACAGCTGTGTGATGTAGTTCATGCAACGCTTAGGGTGAGAGGCTGCAACAAAGGCATGTGGGAGAGGAATATTTATTTTGGACAACATTACCATCATTTATTTGAAACACTTTGCACAGCCTATTTTTAGGCCCATATATTAATGTCTTATACAAGCTAATCTAAATGTTCTGAATGCATTGCTATCCTCAAATTTTTAAGGTCTAGCTACATAAATAATATTCTAAAAACCTGAAATAAAATATACAGTTGCTGGTACAAAATAGCTTACATGTCATCATAAAGAACTCATTGCCTTTAGCAAAAGTGCATAATGAAAATAGCACGGTCTGTGGAAAAATAGGATCAGTGCAGATCATTCAAAGCCTATGTAACTCTGTACACAGAAGCTGCGGATGGCCCCCAAGAATGTTTTTTAATTGTGCAAAATAATACCGTTGAAATGCTGGACTTGAGGACGCGGAGGCAAACAGGATGAAAGTGGAGCTCTGAGCTCGAGAGACAGTGCACCCTCCTGAGAGGCCTATGAGCCCTTCACGGTTTTTAGGGAAGGGAGCCCTGAGTGCAGGTTTTTATTTTAAATTTTCTTAAAAGAAAGTTGGCTTGCATGGACTCTGCCTCGTCACCGGGCTGAGGGCTTTGCTCTTCTCGCTAATGGTCATAATTCTGTTCCCACTGCTCTGATTCCTCTTGCTTAGGGAACAGTATAGGAAGACACCACCTTACACGCTGAATTGACATAATTCTCCTGTTTGTCGGGTGAGTACGAAGTGACCGACGTGGAAGCACACATTGCAACACGGCAGAGTGTACTTAGTTACACACATTTCTTCCTCCCACCCCCAGTTTTCACACAGCTCAGTGCACCCCTTCCCCTGCTATGGCATTTAGTTTTTCTTTCCATTCACACTCTAATAGGTCAAAACAAACAACAGAGGCAGAGTTGTTATGAAAAACCAGCTTCTTGCAAAAACCTCAGCGAAGTCAAGAGAATCAAATGGCAAAGGTCATTGCATTTCTTGCTGATCATAGCAGGGGGAATAAATTAATTTGCATGGAAGATTTAAATTAAATGTTTGGAAAATGTTAGATTCTTGGCTTTTCTATAGTTCTAGATTCTGCCTACTGGAGCTTCATCAAGAACACACACACACACACACACACACACTCATATACTATCTCCTTCCCATTTAGATTCTTTTCATTTTCTTTACATATTTCGTACTGAAGTCATGTGAAAGACTTGAATCATTTCAGCTTGCTTTGGTTAAGGTCTGCGTTCATTCAATCAATACAAAAGCAGCAAACACTCCTTTTGTGCCAGGTCCTGTGCTAGGATCTGAAGAAACAGTAAGATCAGTGACCACCCGGAGTGTTGTGGGAGATAGTCTAAAACACCAGCACTTCCGAGGTGGGTGGGAAGTGCTTACTGGGCACTCCAGAGCGCAGGAGAGGCACACAGTCAGGGATGCCTCAGCGTGTGACAGCAAGGAGGCAGAGGCGACTTCCCTAAGCCATGTGTCTGCAGCTACACAAACATAACTGCTACTGTTTGCAGTGCTGAACTTCCTGAGTTCTACAAGGCATTTTTGGGGATTGACTTTCTAGTGCTAACATTCAAACTGTGAACCCCCCCCCTCCCGGCCCCGCACCACTTTTTCCTGAAAGGTGACTCGCTAGCGAACCTCTTTTCTCAAATCTCAGGTCACGCAGCTGACTTACCTTGATCATTTTTCTCTTGGGAAGATGTTTCTTCATTATTTGACCGTGATCGGTAACTTTCTACTGTGTGTTCTGAAATTTCATTTTCTACAAGAAAAGAAAATTAGCTTACTGATTTCTGGTGTCACAGACATTGATTATATGTGGAAATGGGTGTTTGAATAAGAGAATACCTCCGTTACTGTACCATGGTAGACTTAGCATGTCCTATCCTGTACCTCATGTCCTCATTAACTCAATACATAGTTTTTTAAGTCTATACTATATTTTTTTCTTAAAAATTTTTATTTATTTATTCAAGAGGTAGAGCTACAGACAGTGAGACAGAGACAGAGAGAAAGGTCTTTCATCCGCTGATTCACTCCCCAAATAGCCACAACAGTCAGAGCTGTGCTGATCTGAAGCCAGGAGCCAGGAACTTCTTCCAGGTCTCTCAGTGGGGGTAGGGGCCCAAATACTTGGGCCATCTTCTACTGCTTTCCAAGGCCATAGCAAAGAGCTGGATCAGAAGAGAAGCAGGCGGCTGGCGCTGTGGCATAGTGGGTAAAGCCGCCGCCTGTAGTGCCGGCATCCCATCTGGGTGCCGGTTCGAGACCCGGCTGATCCACTTCCGATCTAGCTCTCTGCTCTGGCCTGGGAAAGCAGTGGAGGATGGCTCAAGTTCTGGGGCTCCTGCACCCACGTGGGAGGCCCGGAAGAAGCTCTTGGCTCCTGGCTTCAGCTCAGCTCAGCTCAGCTCTGGCCATTGTAGCTATTTGGGGAGTGAACCATCAGGTGCAAGACCTCTCTCTCTCTGCATCTCCTCTCTCTTTGGAACTCTGACTTTCAAATAAATTAATCTTAAAAAAAAAAAAAAAAGAAGAGGAGCAACCAGGACTAGAACCGGAGCCCAGATGGGATGCCAGCACCGCAGGCAGAGGATTAACTCACTATGCCACAGCTCCAGCCCCAGTCTATACTGTATTTCTTACAGGCACCATGGAGGTACTATAAGATTGTGGAAACCACATGACAGCAGATTAAAATAAAATATCAGGGGCAGATGATCAGCCTAGCCCATACTGGAGTACTTGGATTTAATACCTGCCTCCAGTTTCTGATTCCAACTTCCTGTTAATGCAAACCCTGGGAGGCAGCTGGTGATGGCTCAAGTACTTGGGTCCCTGTCACCCATATGGGAGACCAGGACTGAGTTTCCAGTTCCAGGCTTTTGGCCTGACCCAGCTCTGGCCATTGCTGAGATTTGGGGAGTAAAATAGTCAAAAAGAGCATCTCCCTCACTCTCTCTCTTAAATAAATATAAATAGTGGAAAAAGTCAAGTATTTTCTTTATGGAAGGAATGATTGTAATAACTAAAAGAACTCTGGGGATGAAACACGCGTGGTAGATGCTGGAACAAGGCTGCGTGTTTGTCTACTGTGTGGGCAGATAAACTGCAAAGTCAGACTTTGTTTCTAGCTTTATTTATAGTGAGGGTATTGATCCATCTGAATATCTAGAGAGACTGGTATGAAACTGGCAGAAGTGATACTTTTCAGAGAGCTGGATCTATTCAAACATGTAGTATTTTGCCTTGGGTCATAAGGGGTTCCTGTTCCCTAAGTGGTCAGCTCAGTACTGCCCGGTGGCCTTATAAAGTGAACCTCATTTAAAATATTCTAGTAGCCACATCTGAACAGTAAAAAGAAGCAAGTGAAATTAATTTGATGATATATTTTATTCAATTAGTATATCCAAGATATTATTATTATTATTACTATTATTATTATTATTATTATTATTTTGACAGGCAGAGTTAGACAGTGAGAGAGAGAGACAGAGAGAAAGGTCTTCCTTCTGTTGGTTCACCCCCCAAATGGCTGCCACGGCTGGCATGCTGAGCCAATCCGAGGCCAGGAGCCAGGTGCTTCCTCCTGGTCTCCCATGCGGGTGCAGGGCCCAAGCACTTGGGCCATCCTCCACTGCACTCCCGGGCCACAGCAGAGAGCTGGCCTGGAAGAGGGGCAACTGGGACAGAATCCGGCGCACCGACCGGGACTAGAACCCGGTGTGCCGGCGCCGAAAGGCGGAGGATTAGCCTAGTGAGCCGCGGCGCCGGCTAGATTTAGTTTTGTTTCCAATGATAGCTTTTTAATTAGAATGCTGAAGGAAGCATTCCTTTTTTTTTATTATTTAATGAGCATAAATTTCCAAAGTACAGCTTATGGATTACAATAGCTTGAAGGAAGCATTCCTAATCTGTTACATTATATGAAATGTAGTAATGGGACTGAAACAGACTAGTACATTCCAACCTCTGATCGACCAGCACTGGAATTCGAGCTCCTTGAGGGTAAGGACCTGGTCTGTTGACGGATGTGTCCCTAGTCCCTGGAACAGTGTCCAGCACACAACCGGTGCTCAATGAATGCTTATTGAACGAATCGATGAATTCGCCCTTCACTGTGTATCCTTTCGTGAATAGCAGCATCTCTAACTTCGTGCCAATTCCCAGAGCTACACCTCTTCCCTTTGGTTATGACCGCTCTGTCTCTAGTCCCTGGGGAATCTCAAGTTGAGTTGACTAAAAGACAGGCGATGGCTCCCATGAGAGACAGCACTTCCCGAGTGGCTCGTGCAGCCTCTAACAGGAGAGCCCTCGCGGACAGACGTCTCCTCCTTTCCTAGCTGACTGTTTCGCACCAGCCAGCCTCCGTCAGGTTGTCCGCCCACTCACCTTTCTTCCATATCACGTGAGCTTTCCGCAGCTTCATGATGAAGAGCTGGACTATGACGAGGAGGATGAAGATGAGGAAGGACACGAGGGTGAGCAGCAGTATTCCACTCTTCCTCCTCACCAGCCCTATGTACTGAGGATTCGCTTCTGCCAGGAAAACAAGAAGGTCTCACACAGGTTTTTCTAGCCATGGGGAATAAGACAAGACTCCCACCGCGTCATATAGGCTAACAGACAGCCCAGATGAAGTGAGGGAGAGCTCGCTCCGGAAGGCAGACACTCAAAGTGTGCGCTCCTCCCAAAAAAGCAAACAACTATGCAAACAAACAAAACCACTCTGTGGAATGAGTTGAAAAATGTTTTTTTAGTTGGAGATGTTGAACCAGTTATTTTTCATGACTACAGAAAGCATGTGAGAAAACAGACTTAAATTATAATTAAGGGATTCAAATTAGCTACTAAGAATTCTTTCTTTCTTTCTTTCTTTCTTTTTTTTTTTTTTTTTTAGCAAAATGTAATTAAGTGGCAAGACAGATTGTTGGCTAGATTAAATGTGGCCCTGCATTGGGGGATAAACTGGTGGAGCTTTAAAAAGTCTTTCTAAACCCAGGATTCTGATCTTGTGGGCTGTAGCTTTGCTAAACATCCTAGTCCCCTCTTCTTAACCAACAAGGAATTAAGAGGTGCTGGTTAAATCTAGAACATCATGCTCAGCACTGTACAAGACACAATCCCTAGCCACCTGCAGCACTGGCAGCACTGGCATCCCAAATAGGCACTAGCTTGAGTCCTGGCTGCTCTACTTCAGATCTAGCTCCCTGCTAATGCACCTGGGAAAGCAGTAGAAGATGGTCCAAGTACTTGGGTCCCTGCACCCGTGTGGGAGACCCAGAGGAAGCTCATGACTCCTGGCTTTAGATTAGCCCAGCTCGGGCCATTGCAGGCATTTGGGGAGTGAACCAGCAGATGGAAGATGTCTCTCTGCCTCTCCCTCTCTATCTTTCTGTAACTCTGCCTCTCAAATAAATAATCTTAAAAAAAAAAAAAAAGAAAGAAGTTAAAACATGGAGTATTCTTTCTAAATGCAGAGGTGACACTTACCGGTGGTTAAGTCAGGGTTCAGAGTTGTTTTTTCTTTCTCTTCCTTGTCAATCTCTGAAGTACTAGAATTTTCCATGACTGCGCCTGAAGTGAAAGCAAAGACACATATAAGGAATCCATCACACATATGTGACAAAGCATGACTGCTGTGGTTTGAATGTTTGTGCCCTCCAAAATGCACATGGAAGTTTAATTGTGACAATTAAATTGGCCATTGTGACAGTACTGGGAGGCGAGACCTTTAGGAAGTGGTTAGGCCATGAGGGCTCCACTCTCAAGAATGGGTACTAAGGACATCATTGCAGCAATGAGTTTGTTATCGAGGGGATGGGTTTGGCTCCTCTGGCTGTCTCTTGACTTCTCTTCGCTGTAGCAAGAAGGCCCTGCCAGAGGTGGCACCTCAATCTTGGACGTCCCAGCCTTCAGAACTGTGAACCAACAAATTTTTGTACATTACAGATTACCCAGTCTGTGGTATTGTGTTATGGCAGCACAAAACAGACTAAGACTATATATATAGTCATATATAATATATATAGTCATATATATTATATATATAATATGTGTATAAAATATACATCTGTGTATTTTCTTCCCAAAGCAGCATTGGAAACAAAATTAAGTGACTTTCATTTTTAAAAAAATAAGATCACTTTTAAACTATTGATTTATTTAAATTTTCTTTTTAAAATTAACCCATAATAATCATATATATTTATGAGTTATAGGGTAATATTTTTTAAAATATTTATTTGTTTTTTTGAAAGGCAGAGTTATAGAGAGACAGAGGCAGAGAGAGAGAGGTCCTGCATCCGTGGGTTCACTTCCCAATTGGCCGCAATGGCTGGAGCGGCACTCATCCGAACCCAGGAGTCAGAAGCTTCCTTCTGTTCTCCCACACGGGTGCAGGGGCTCAAGGACTTGGGCCATCTTCTACTGCTTCCCCAGGACATAGCAGAGAGCTGGATGGGAAGTGAAGCAGCCGGGACTGGAACCGGCACCCATATGGGATGCCGGCACTGCAGGTGACAACCTCACCTGCTACGCCACAGCGCCAGGCCCTATAGTGTAATATTTCAATACATGTATACAAAATGTCATTCAAATCTAGGCAATTGGCATTTCCAAGCTCTTAGCATTTTTGTACGTTTGGAGACATTGAGTCCCTATCTTCTGGTTCTTCATAAAACCTGCGATAGGTTGTTGTAAACTACAGTCCCCCACTGTGCTGCTGGAGGCTGGAACCATTTCTCGTCTCTGTGTTCTGGTTCCCATTACCCAACTTCTCTTCTGGACTAGTCTATATTCAGGTGGACTCCCATAGCTTCCACAGAGGAGAGAGAATGTGTGGTATTTGTCTTGCTGCATCTGGCTTATTTCACTCCAAACTACTGATTTTCTGCAAGAACAGTGGCCAGTGGCCTTATTTCTGTAAGACAAACATTCGTTGCATGTTTAACCCTGTGCCATGTCTTGTGCTGAGCACTTTGTCCTAATTACTTCTTACTGCAGTTCTGAGAAAACAGGATTCCAGCAGTTAAGAAAATGACCTAAATCCCATGGCAAAATAGTGGCAGAGCCAACATTGAAACCAGAGCCCCAGGTTTAAACCACAGCCCCTCTGGAGTCAGGCCTATAAGGAAAAGGCTTTAAGATACCAACTCAGCACTGAGGAATGGCATCCCAAGCTTTGTGGATGGAAAACCCACGGCCTGGGGCCAGCGTTGTGACACAGTGAAGTGCGCCAGTGCTAGCAATACCGGCGTCCCATATCAGAGTACTGATTTGAGTCTCGGATGCTCCACTTCTGATTCAGTTCTGTGCTAATGCACCTGGGGAAGCAGTCGATGAGGGCCACGTGACTGACCAGGAGGGAGTCCTTGACTCCTGGCTTCAGCCTGGCCCAGCTCTGGCTGTTGCAGCCATTTGGGGAGTAAACCAGCAGATGGACGATCTCGATCTCTCTCTCTCTCTCTCTCTCTCTCTCTCTCTCTCTCTCTCTTTCTCTCTCTCCCCCTCTCCTTCTCCCTCTCCCACTCCCTCTCTCTCGCCCCCCCCCCTTGTGTACGTATCATTGTCTCCTCTCTGTCATTTTGCTTTTCAAACAAATAAAATAAACCTTAAAAAAGAAAGCAAACTTACAACCTGAAATCAAAGCAATGGTTTGTCTGTAGATACAGTCTCGGGTGTCATTCAAACATCTGCAAGCCTCCCCCGCATGACGCTTTTGCTAGGTAAGGCAGACTATAAAAATAAGAGACGTCTCTTGCAGCTGTTGCTTGTCTGCCAAATTCCCTGTTTTTCCCTCTGCAGGCTCTGGCTTTTCAGCCCGTTGCCAGCGCCACCGTGTGGATCCCAAGGGGAATGGAGTCTCTCATCCTTTTACTAAAGATGGGTGTTATTAACAGTAATAAAATTGTAGAAATTGAAAGCTGAAAGGAATTTTAGAGACCATATTTCTTAAATCTTATGATATACATGAAAAAGCAGAGCAGAAAATTGAGTCGGTGAGTAGCAGTACAAGCCAATTTAAGGACAACTGGATTCTAAACACGTTGAAAAATATTGGATTATTAAAGCAAGTGATGTGGCTGTCCCACTTCATAATAGCTTCAATTTCCATGGCCCTTCAAAAAGCTGTATGGTACATACTGTATTTATCAGCGTATTAAACCCTGAACATTTTGCTTTTAAACAGTATTCAGGATTCACAATCTTTAAAATGTGATTTGATACTCAGAAATATGAACATGATAATGATCTAAAAGCACTTGTCCCACCAGATGAAATTATCATAGAGACACAATATGAAACAGAGGGAATATGTGGGAATGTATGCCTTTCTGGATGAAGCTGCCTTGCTTAAGGCATCATAGTATACTCACGTATTCATTGAGGTTCTGAGCACCTGCTATCGCAAGATACCTTGCTAGGTAAAACCCAAAATTAAATTAAATACACGAGGTGTTCTCTTCCCTTTGTGTGTGTGCCCACTCATGATGATAAATTTTTCTGTTATTGTCTTCTATTTAAAAAATTAAATACGTTGTCATTGCCCTCAGAGTCACTGTCTAGAAAAGTGGAATTACAATCCAGGTTTTATTGGTTCTTCTGCAGGTATGGTTCAGTTCTGTCATAAAAAGTGACCTGAGTTCTTGACAAACAAGTAACTGATGCCCTTTCAAAGGCTTTGAGGCTCTCTGCCGATGTCAAGTCTTTGTTTTGTGTTTGGTCTGTTCTAGACAGAGAGACAAAGAAATGAGTTTCCCTGCAAAGGAATTCAACCTTATTCTTTACTGCAATTCCAACGTCATTAGTGTGTGTGTGTGTGTGTGTGTGTGTGTGTGTACAGAAGCATCTTGAGCACAATAGCCCTGCACTTACAAGGTGTTGTGTACCCAGAAGTCCATCCCACCAGTACACAACTGATGTGGCTCTATTCTAGGACAACACAAACTTGGATCCAGTTGACAAGGTCCCGTACGATCTGATTAAAAATCAAAATAAAAATATTCTTCATGCCTAGACTTAGAAAAATGACCTTCCCGAGGAGACATGACTTTATTTTAAGTTTTCATGAGGACACTCACCCGTGCTAGTAGGAAGCTGCGTGCCTTGGGACGACAGAGAGCTTTTCTCCAGGGCATCGGAAGTTGCCTCTTGATCTGCGACTAGGAAAAGGGAAAAACAAAATTCTGCGACTACAGAGAGCAATTTTGCCCGCATGGTGCTCAGTCAAGTTGATTGAAGGATGGATGCTGCTGCCACCTGCTTGTGGAGGCTGTGCAGCAATCTCAGGACTGTGTGTTCGCAGCCCTTGCTCTGGTTTTGAATTTGTATCCTGCTGATTGTCCATCTGCTCACTTGCCTAGCTGAAAAGGACAGCATGCTGGCAGGGGGCGGCGGAGGGGGCCTCCATGTGGTGGTGCGTTTTGCTAGAGGAGGCAAAGAACACTCACTGTCTCTATCTACATATATCTATCGATAAATATCTATCTATCTATCTGCTTCAAAATTCAAAAGCATACATATGTTTTATAGGTGCATTTTCCAGGAACTTTTTGAAGACCTCTGATCTTTGTCTACCCTTCTATCTACCCATCCACATATCTATGTATGTGTCATTAGTAGGTGGTTTGGGGTCAGCCTTGGACTCCAGTGCTGCTGTTTGCTTGCTCCCAAGTAAATTTGATAAGATGCTTATTTCTCTAAGAGTCAACTTCCTCCCCACCCTTATCTGTAAACTTTTAGCATTGCAGTTAAGATATCTGTGTCCCAGGGCCAGCACTGTGGCGTAGCGGGTAAAGCTACCACCTGCAGTGCCAGCATCCCATATGGGTGCCAGTTCGAATCCTAGCTGCTCCACTTCTGATCCAGCTCTCTGCTGTGGCCTGGGAAAGCAGTAGAAGGTGGCCCAAGTCTTTGGGCCCCTGCACTGGCATGGGAGAACCGGGGGAAGCTCCTGGCTCCTGGCTTCGGATTGGCACAGCTCTAGCCATTGGGGAGTGAACCAGCAGATGGAAGACCTCTCTCTCTCTCTCCCTCTCTCTCTGCCTCTCCTTCTCTCTCTGTGTAACTGACTTTCAAGTAAAAAAAAAAAAAAAGATACCTGTGTCCTAGAACAGAGTTCTATTCCTGCCCCCAGCTCCTAACTCCAGCTTCTCGCTCATGTCTGCGCTGGCCCGGATGGGTTCCTTCCACCCACATGGGAGACCTGGATTGAGTTCCTGGCTCCTGCCTTTGACTCCAGCTTGGCCCTTGGCCATTGTGTGAATTTGGGTGTGAACCAGTAGATGAGAATGTGCTCTCTCTTTCTCTCGTTCTCTCTCGCTGTCTCCAATAAATAAGTTGGTAAATTTATTTATTAGCTACATTTTCATTTGGAATTTTGGGGAGCCTGCATCCACTACCATGAGCCTGGCAGCTTCCAGATACTTACGGACTTTGTGATCAGTGATGTTATTGATGAGTGTGATTTTTAGGTTGAAATGTATCAACATTTAAAAGATCTGTATAACTCAGTGAATCAGTATTTTCCAATGACCAAGGCACAGTGTTACAGAAATAATGCCAGGTAAAATAAAAGATCCACTTAAAGTGCAAGAGAATTTGATGGATTTTAATATAACAGAGTATAAATGGTTCACTGACGTGGTTGCAGGTCCACATAGCAACTGATCATTAGAAAACTGTCCATTGAGTTTTGGTATAGCTTCAAAGAGGAATAGCTGTAATTATCCAGAAAGGCTATTAAAATACTCTTCTCCCTTTCCAACTGTACATTTGTATGAAGTTGAGTTACTTTATGTGTAATTCAAGCAAAACAGCATATGGGAAGTAAATGGATGTAAGAATTCTGAGAACTTAATTGTTTACTACTAAGGCCAACATTAAAGAGATTTTTGTGAAGTAAAACAATGCCATTTTTCTTACTATCATTTTTGACGTTATAAAATACAGGTCTTTTTTCCTTCTTCTTTTTTTTTTTTTACAGAAACCTCCATTTCTGTTGGGCACTTCTGTTTGCTCAGCTCTTTTCTCTCATGGACACAGTGCTGGCATGATCCCCATTTGCCCGGGGTCCTACCACACGGAGTGTAAAGGTGAAAGGACCCTGCTTGTAAGCATGTTTAAAACACCCTCAGTTAGGAGATTTTAAAAACTAACTGGATACACAAAGCACTTTTACTGTCTGTATGTCAATGTAGTAACTCATCAAAGGGACAAGGAAATAAAGAGAAGTCATCAATAGTGGCATTTTTCTTTGAATGCTTGTAGAGATCTGCCAGTGGAGGCTAGATAATCAACAGTTAGATCTCAAATGAAATTCAGTCCTTGATTTATTATTAGACATTTAGAGGGACATAGCTGGTTGGGCAGCTACCTGCCATGCCAGCATCCCATATGGGCGCCAGTTTAAGTCCCGGCTGCTCCACTTCCCATCCAGCTCTCTGCTAATGCTCCTGGGAAAGCAGCAGAAGATGGCCCAAGTCCCTGGACCCCTGCACCCACATGAGAGACCCAGAGAAAGCTCCTGGCTCCCGGCTTTGGCCTGGCCTGGCCCAGCTCTGGCTCTTGTGTCCATGTGGGGAGTACGCTAGTGAATGGAGGATCTCTCTCTTTCTGTCTCACTCTGTGGCTATGCCTTTCAAATAAATAAGTAAATAAATAAATAAATCTTTTTTTAAAAAAGAAAAAACATGGTGAGCTATTATTTGAGGTTATATATAACTATATTCATAAAAGAGTAATTTACAATTTCCCTTTTCATAGTAATTTTTGTAGATGATTTTAATATTCCTGAAAAGTAAAAATGTTTACTTTTCTTAAGATTTATTTATTTTAAAGGGATAGTTTCAGAGAGGCAGAGGCAGAGAGAGAGAGAGAGAGAGGGAGAGGGAAGGAGATGAGGTCCTTTCAATTCGCTGGTTCATACCCAGATGGCCACAACCGCCGGAGCTGTGCCAATCCAAAGCCAGGAGCCAGGCGCTTCCTCCGGGTCTCCCATGTGGGTGTAGGGGCCCAAGGACTTGGGTCATCTTCTGCTATCCCAGGCCATAGGAGAGAGCTGGATCGGAAGTAGAGCAGCTGGGACTTGAACCAGCACCCATATGGGATGCCGACACTGTAGGTGGTGGCTTTACCTGCTAAGCCACAGTGCTGGTCCCAAAAATGTGTTTTAAACACTATTGGTTCTCTTATTTACTTTTAAAATGATTTATTTATCTAAAAGACAGAGTGACCGAGAAAGAGGGAGAGACTCCCTTCTACCCAAGGGTTCACTCCCCAAATGTCCACAACACCTGGGTGTGGCCCAGGCTAAATTCAGGAGCCAGGAACTCCGTCCCATGTGGGTGGCAGTGACCCAAGTACCTAGGCCCTCATCTGCCACCTCACTGGTTCATTAGCAGGAAGCTGAGTGGCAAGGAGTGGAGCTGGATTGAACCAGGGACTCCAATATGGGAGGTTTAACTCGCTGTGCCTTAACACCCACTCCTGGTTCCCTTGATTAAGAATCTGAATGTCTTTTCAGAGGCATGTAGATAGACAGCACCAGGCTCCAATTCCACTGATGCGGGTGGAGCGTGGCTGCAGAGTGAGTCATAAGGGTCGGAGTGGGTGCGTACGATGTCGCTACAGCGCAGTCTGTGGGTTCTGGAGTCTTCTCAAGCAGCTTCCTCCATAACAGCTTTTGGTTTGCTGAGAAAGTGGCTGTGGAAAGCCTGTGGCAGTGAGGGGAGCCTGTCAACCACAGACACAGCCCCCACAGCTTTCCCACAGTGAGGTTCTCATAAGCCAACTGGCCCTCCACGAGTGCCTTGCATCGTAATCATTACGTTTGACAAAAGAGCTTTGTCATCGACAATTTCTTCTTTCACTCATGTGAGCCCTTGGACTTCAGGACTCTCCTTGCACACCGAGAAGTAGCTTCTACAGCAAGGAAGCTCAGCATCCTACTAATTGCAGACTTGTGTGTCCACGTGACTTCTGGTGGGATACCCCTTGTCTCAAATTAGACTTGTATCTAATTTTTAAACCACCCATTAACCCCACATCCCAGTATACGTTATTTTATTTATTTATTAAGATTTATGTATTTATTTGAGAGGCAGAGTCGCAGACAGAAAGAGGGAGGGAGAGGTGCTCCATCTGCTGGCTCACTCCCCAAGTGGCTGCAATGGCCACAGCTGGAGCAGTCTGAAGCCAGGAACCAGCAGCCTCCCCTGGGGCCTCCCACGCTGCTGGTGCAGGGGCCCAAGCACCTGGGCCATCTCCATTGCCCTCCCAGGCTACCAGCAGAGAGGTGAAGCAGAAGAGGAGCAGTCAGGACATGAACCGATCCCGATATGGGATGCTGGTGCCACAGGTGGAGGCTCAACCTACCACACCACAATGCCGGCCCCTTGTATGTAATTTTGAAACCATTTCTTGGACTTTAGGAAAAGGAATCACAGAACAGGGGTTATGAAAATGGGAGTGACTTCTTTTCTCAATACTTGATGCTTTCAGGGGTGTTTGGCTCAGAATATTATCATAGTTAAACTAAAAGCTTCAAACAGTCATAGTCAACCTACTCATGCCTTCATGTAACTGTGCATGTTTTATAGGAGTGTAAAATTACACTGGCAAGTTTAAACTTATTTCTGTTCCTATTCTTTCCTTTTGGGTCAAGTACAAAGTTGCAGTATGCTTCATAGGATCTCTCTAAAGACAGGATGGCAATCAAAGTGTTTAAGGTCAAGTTAACATTATCTGTCATTATCAAAGGGCAAGTACGAGCTATTTGCATCTAGTACTGAGCTATGCTTTCTGCACAGCTGGGCTCCTTCTGAGTGTTGCCTCACTTGCCACCCCGCCACTCAGGAGGAGAAATTTCAATGATGGCATCCATTTGCTATGAAGGAGAGCTTTGTTGACAGTACTCTCACTCTGGAAGACTTCACCCACCCTGTTTAACTTCACTGATGCTGCAATATGATTAAAAATGATTAAAGGCAATTAGTTCTTACCCCAATCTTTAAACCGGAAGGATGCAACCAGATTGGTCCCTTGCAGGCCTTTGTGTCGGATAATGCAGTCCACTGTTGAGTTTTTGCTGTATGTGTGGACTAGGAGCTTGCTTGTGGTATTACATGTTTTCCCATCCATTTCAAATTCATGGTGGGTGTCCCCTATGTAGCAAGTTAAAGAGAATGTATGAGGTTATGGCTATTTAACACTATTGGGTGAGTTCGGTTTTATTACAGACCACCAGTTTTTGACTTCTTGGCAAACATATTAGATTTCTAATCTCACTTTAACTGGCTGCCTTTTGTGTGCTTGGCTCTGATCACAAAGGGAAGGAGGTGAAGGAGGATGGATATGTTTATGTAAATCCTTCACTACATGGAAAAAACTTAAAGCCTATATGCTATATAAGGACAACATGATGCTACAAAACACAAAGACAGAAAAACTTACTCATGTTCCATGGATAAGACAAATTAAAGGGGAAATCTAATGGAATAAAAGTGCACTTGAATGGGAATCGGATCTGGATTTTAGGTCTTTTCTCTGTAGAACCCCATTTGAGCCTCCCTCAGTTTCATCAGCTGTGAAAGGGCCCCTGCGGCTCTAAGAATGTATAATTATGTAGATATTGGAGGTAGTGCCTGTTGAAATGTAAGCATATGGTGAATAGCTCCGGAACATCACAATGAGTTATCCTTTTTCAGTTAAAGACTTAAAGTTTAGACTGCATGCTATCATAATATTTTAAAACTTCCCTTGTGGGAATGAAACAGCACTATACTATCTAAGGAAGATCATATATGTTCCAATTGCCTATGTTATGTAAATGTATTTTTAATTGTATATTTTGAAAAGGCTTATTCTTAGAGGTAATACCTATAGGATACTTTCCACTTTGGGAAATTTTGTCAAATTTTAAGAAGCTGTTATAAATATCCCACTTTATGTTTCTACTTTGTGCAAAAACATGTTCATTATTTGTGATTAGGTTTTTGAGATTAAGGCATAGTATTGACTGGTGATAGTTTGGAAAAGAACTGATAAATTATTAAGTGTCATCAGGCACCTGCGGCCACCAGAGGGTGCCAGAACCTTTAAAATCCCTTGGACATTTACCCAGGAAGGAAAACAAAGAAAGGAGAGCTGTTTCTGCACCTACCATAGAACTCCACGCCGTTCCCTACTTGCCAGGTTATCTGCGGAGGGGGCTTGCTTCTCGCGGTGGAGCATTGAAGTACAACACCTTCTCTGTTTTGCCCTCTGAGAACTGAAGCCTCCAGCGTTGGCTTAGAAGGAATTGCTAGAAAAAAAATTAGATTTATCTGTGCTCCACATCTCAGCAAAGCACACAGCCTAATAATCTGTAGGGAATGCTGTAGGGTCAAGTCTAGTTAATGGGCTTCTTGTTTACTTGCCCGTTCCCAGAATCAAGTCCTGTTAAAGGGCTTTCGTGGGCTTGCACAGCTACTTGGGCTGAGGTCAGCATGTTTGCCATCGGTGTGTGATTAATCCCTGAAACTTCCCAAACACACCACGTTATAGCAACAGTTCTTAAATGAGCTATGGGCCTGCATTTGGTTTGTAGAGCACTGGGTGAAGAATAGAGACCTGAATTGCAGCTTCACCTCTTGGTTAAGTCCCCTGACTTCTTGGTGTGCCAGTTTTTACATCTGTGACTTGGGAAGATAAGCTAAGGAGTTGGCTTTTTCAACCTTAAACTTTCATGAGTCTGTGACTCACCTCCAGGTAAGTTGCTTCTGTCCCCTCCTAACAGCCAAGGTGCATTTCTCGTACAAAGAGCCCATGGGTCCTTTTTCATTGTACTTCTGTCTCAGAAATACCTTTTAGTTAGGATTCTTTCTTCCCCTTTCCCGTTCTACCTCCACTTTGGTCCAGAACTGTACCCTTCCACATCTGTTTAATTCACCCATCTGCACCCTTGTAAAGGCACTTGTTAGTTCCAAGTATGTACCAGATGTGTTACTGCTGGCAATGCAAAGATGAAAAAAATGTGGCCCTGTGAGATGCACATAGTCCGGTGGTAGTCTCCACCCTTACACTGTTACCTAAAAGTTCTTGTGTTGAGAGTGCAGTGGTAGAGGAATACACAGGGCATTGTGAAAGCTCAGAAGTTGCACAACCAGCCTGAGCCTGGACGGAGTGGGAGGTGGTCAGTGGGTGGGGAAAAGACAAACCTTGAGGTGAATGAGTCACATTGGCTCCCAAACCCTCCGGGACCCATATCTTCTCAGCTACTTTCCCTCTGTGCCTTTACTTTATGGCAGGCACCACATGGACATAACTCCACAAGGGAAGTCTAAAGAATCCCTTTGTGTGCTGTGTGGAATCAGGTTACTTAGAGATCAATTAAAAGCAATGTTTTTCATTGATTTATTTTGCCACAAAAAGAAAAGAGAGAGAGAGGAAGATAGGAAGACATATATCCTGGACACCACTGACCCTCTGCGGAAGTGGCACATCCCAGAAGACAGGGCAGCTGTCACATCCTGGCCTCCCCTCCCAGCCCCACCGGCCAGCAGAAGAGAGGGGGTCTTTTGGCAGAGGATGTGAGCAGATGACGCAGTGCAGAAACATCAGAGTTCATTCAGTGTTGGGATACACTGCCACAAGGCTCCACTGCATTTAAAGTGGACCTGCAAACTCCTTCCGGGCAGAGAGGGTGCCTACCTCATTTTCGGTTCCCTAGAGCCTTGTACGCTACCTGATAAATAATCTGAGCTCATCAAATATAAATTCTGCTTTTGCGTTCCCTCCAAGAGAACATGCTAATGCCACAGGTTCACAGTTGAATCTGGGGTTTGCCTCTTGAAATGCTTGCTTTCATTTTTTTTTCAATGAAAGAGGGCAGAGATGGCCCAGAAAATGCCTTTGCCAGAGGCAACAATTCTAAATTAAAACATTAAGCTTAAAGCCGGTGAGTTAGCCGGCGCCGCGGCTCACTAGGCTAATCCTCCACCTTGCGGCGCCGGCACACCGGGTTCTAGTCCCAGTCGGGGTGCCAGATTCTGTCCCGGTTGCCCCTCTTCCAGGCCAGCTCTCTGCTGTGGCCAGGGAGTGCAGTGGAGGATGGCTCAAGTCCTTGGGCCCTGCACCCCATGGGAGACCAGGAGAAGCACCTGGCTCCTGCCATCGGATCAGCGCGGTGCGCTGGCCGTAGCACGCCTGCCGCGGCGGCCATTGGAGGGTGAACCAACGGCAAAGGAAGACCTTTCTCTCTGTCTCTCTCTCTCTCACTGTCCACTCTGCCTGTCAAAAAATAAAAAATAAAAATAAAAAAAATAAAGCCGATGAGTGTGTTCATGACTGTGTCTCTCATACTGGGTTTTCTGGCTGGGGCACCTACCTAACACAATGACTTTCACTTCCTTTGTTCTCACAGGGCTCCTGTAATGCAAACACTTGTACACGCCTTCATCCTGCAAGGTGACGTTAGGCACGCTGATGGACAGCTGATTGGCGGAGTGATGAAGCAGCTGGTATTTAGAATTCCTTAAAGCTGTACAAGAGGGAAAGAGAGCTGTTATTAAGAAACATATTGGATGCACACAGATTGATCATAAGAATCACTTTTGATTTTCACATGCTAAGAACAAATGCTGGGAGACCAGGAGAAGCACCTGGCTCCTGGCTTCGGATGGGCGCGTGGCGCAGGCTGCAGCGCACCGGCAGCAGCGGCCATTGGGGGGGGGGGTGAACCAACGGTAAAGGAAGACCTTTCTCTCTGTCTCTCTCTCACTGTCCACTCTGCCTGTCAAAAAAAAAAAAAAAAAAAAAGAAGAAAGAACAAATACTGTGTTTTCAACTGAGCTGCCTTCAGAACTCTAGGAGAGGGAGGAGGAAGAGGGGTGGGAGGGTGGGATTAGTGGGAAGAATCACTATACTCCTGAAGTTGTATTTATGAAATGCATGAAGTGTGTATTCTTTAAATAAATTGTTTCTGGAGAAAAATCAATTACATGAATGTAAGAAAAAAATTTTTTAGTGTTGCCAGCAGGATGTCTCTCCAAGTTAGTATAGAAAATGAAGGACTTTGATAGATCTGTGAAATACACAGACTGCTTTATTTGTGCTCTGCTGGGAAGGGTTCAGCTGGCGGAAGATTACAGAACTGTGTTCTCTCCTGGTGAAAATCACCTATGATTTACCTCCTTGAAGTCTGGTTCATTGGAGCTTGTCTCATCACAATGAATGTGAAGAATGGAAGACAAACACACCAGCTGGGTGCATCTTGCTTTTAATTTTAAAAAGTTTGTTATGGTTTGCCATTTCCCACAGACCCTGACGTAGTTCTTCCAGGTGTTTAGCCAATGGCACGAAAGCAAGTTCCAATCAGGGGTGCATATTTGGTGCAGTGATTAAGGCACTGCTTGGGATGCCCACATCCCACACTGGAGTGCGTGGCCTCGAGTCCTCGCTCCAATAGTGATGACTCAAGTTCTTGGGTCCCTGCCACTCATGTAGGAGACCTGGGTGGAGTCTGGCTCCTGACTTTGGCCTGTTCCAGTCCTGACATTTTGGGAGTGAACCAGCAGATGAAAGATCTCTTTCTGTCTCTCCATCTCTCTGTCTCTCTGATTTTCAAATAAAATGAATATAACTTTTTTTTTCCCAAAGAAAATTCCTGGGGCTGGTGCTGTGGCACAGCAGGTTAAGCCACTGTCTGTAGAGCCAGCACCCCATAAGGACACCAGTTCAAGTCATAGCTGCTCCACTTCCAATCTAGCTTCCTGCTAATGTGTCTGGGAAAGCAATGGATAATGGCCCAAGCGCTTGGGCCCCTTCACCAATATGGGACACCCAGATGAATCTCCTGACTTCATATGGGCCCAGCCCCCATCATTGTGGCCATTTAGGGAGTGAATGTTAAGTTTTATAATACAAGCAAATCTAAAATAATTAACCCTTGAGTGGTCGACCAAGGAAGGTGGTCCTCATCCAGAATAACATTTGCATGTTCTGAGAAACTGGTATGATGGCGTCATCTATTGTAGAATGTTCGGCAACATCCTCTACCCACGGGATGCCCGAGGCACTGCCCTGTTTGTAACATATTCAGTGCAGGGCAAGGTCACTCCAGGTGGAAAACCAGAGGAACTAGATCAAGCCATTCTACTGCAGAAATTCCAGAATGTTCATCTCTCAGTTCCCCCAAGCCCAGCCCAAACAAAAACAGCAAAAGGCATTATTTAACAGAATTCCCTTACCTAAAGTTGTTTTCTTGGAACTTTTAACAATTAGTGCCTACTTATTCTACCGGGACCCGTAGTAATAGTGGACTTTGTTTGAAATAAGGTATTTGGTATTTGTCTTGAACATAGCAATTTCTAAAATATGTGTTTGTTTTCATGTACTTCCAAGGCAGTGTGTCAGAGAGAGGGAAAGAAATTTTCCATCCACTGGTTCATCCCCCAAATGTCCATTCACAGGGTTGCAACAGGTCAAAGCCAGGAGCCTAGGAACACCCTTGGGGTCTCCCACTTGGGAGTCATACTCTGCGGCTTCCCATGGTGCATTAGCAGGAAGCTGGATTGGAAGCAGAGTAGCTGGGATTCAATATGGGATGCACTCATTTCCAGTGATGCCCTAACCTGCTGTGCAACAAGGTCTACGCCCAATATCAATAAATATCAATTTGTAATACTATTTTCAAGACATATCTAGTTGTTTAGAGGCTATACTTTGTAAACAAGAATGAAATTTGTTGGTTTCGAGACCTTTGTAAGTATTTGGCAGGTAGAGCTATAAACTGAAGATACCACATGGTCTCATTACGAAGGAGAGAGTCTGAGAAAACCCTGGTCAGAGTCAGAGAGAAGTCAGTAGACTTTCCAGGCTTCCTTCCACCTCAGGCCTCTGCCACCCATTTAATGTGCATTTGCAAAGACAGGAATGGCTGCCCTCCTTTCCAAAGTCATACGCCCTGTCCATTTCTTTCTTTTTTATTTTTTAAATATATTTGGCAGGTGGAAATATAGATAGTGAGAGAGACAGAGAGAAGGGTCTTCCTTACGTTGGTTCACTCCCCAAATGGCCGATCCAAAGCCAGGAGCCAGGTGCTTCCTCCTGGTCTCCCATGCGGCTGCAGGAGCCCAAGCACTTGGGCCATCCTCCGCTGCCTTCCCAGGCCACAGCAGAGAGCTGGACTGAAAGAGGGGCAACCGGGAATAGAACCTGGCGCCCGTATGGGATGCCGGCGCCGCAGGCAGAGGATTAACCAAGTGAGCCCCATCATGCCCCTTTCTATTGCTTAGTGATCTTGAGAGTTTGTGCCCATCAGCAGGTGGGGAGAGTCCACGACTGCAGACTGCTCAGACGGCCAGGCAGCAGCAGGCTCCAGGTGTGGCTGCTGGTGTTTGCTGCATGAGGACAAGACCCCCACCCAGTCAGGCTGCTGCCTGTCTTTTCACTGTGCTGCAGTGGTTTCATGGTCGCAGAGAGTCAAAAAGTGACCTGGGGGTGGAGCATGGAAATGCGCCTTGTCATTTAAGCCCCCTTTAGCAACACTTCTGGTGGGGTTTCCATTTCAGACTTCCTGCCCCCAGAGAGAGCGATGTGTAAAGGAACAGGCTTCGCAGATGCCATTCGCCTGTTGCAGTGGGTGGGCTGCACCCACCCTCGAGTGACTCACGCACAAGCTTTCTGTCCTGTTACCCTGGCTGGGAAATCCCAGGGTTGAAGTCCGCTGGTGACATTTTTTTGTCTTTTCTTCACTTACCAGGATGGTCATTAAAATAAATGGTGAACCCTGAGGGGGCCAGCCATTGCAGGGTGGAGGGCTGGGAGGGAGAAGTGCTACAGTTCAGAGTGAGCGTCTGGCCTTCCTCCACGGTGATGGTGTCCACATGGTTAGTCAGGAAGGCCGCTGTGGAGCAAGAGCACAAGGGACAGTCAGTCTGGTGGGCCCAGGTCATACCTGCACTGTGGCAGGGACATAGTCTCAGCCCGACCTCATTCATTCATTCAATTACGTAGTCACCTTCCTTCTAGAAACCAAGGCATTGAAGCAAATATCAAAAGATACCAGAAGAGAAGCAAGCACCGTGTGTTAAGATGCCTCACAAAGGAGGGGACATTCGAACAAGCTTTGAATGAAGGGGTGGGGTTTGAGAGGAAGAAATGAAAAGCTGAGCAGTTATTGGGCGCTTGATCTGTCATATGTCGGGAGCTGCATGAGGCCACAGGAGGGGTTTGCAAAGAGGTCAAGGAAAACATGTGTGATGACAGTACAATGCACAGATTTGCACACTTATGCATCCCAAAATTTTAATTCCACCTTGCTATGAGCTTTTCAAAGTCCCCTAGTATTACCTACATTTAATTTAATCTTCAAACTAACCTTGTACAACAAGAGCCATTTCACTCATTTTAAAGAGGCTGTGTAGCTGGGATGTGCGCCCAGGGCCACGGGTTTCAAATCTATGCTTACTTCACTATGTCGGTTGAGACATATAGTTGAGACCCCAGAGTCAGGTTTTCCAGCCTCAGTTTACAAAATGGGCAACTTGGACCATCAAGGACACCGGGTGTGTCTGGGATACTAAGATGATAGCCAATGGTGAGCTTGTGAATTGTGGAGCTGCCCTTGGTGGGAGGTAGCTAAGTCCCTCTGGCCTGAAGGTTTCTGCACTAGAAGAACAATGTTCTAAGGTGTCTTCCAAGTCAATATTCCACCGCAGCACCTGAGAATCTGATTCCTCAAATCACAGCCCTCAGAGAATGATAAACAGTTGATTCTAAAAAGCTGCAAATTTGTACTCCCCTTCTTCCCTTGACAAAAAAGAAATTGATGAAAAAAATAAACTGGCTTTATTGCTGACTTGGCACATTTAGTGTTCTCATTATTTCTTCAAATTTGAAGTTAATTTGTTTTTATGAGGGCAATTCTTATCAATGAAGGTATGAAACACTTTCACAAACAGAGGAATACCATGGGATTATAAGTCATGAATCACAAATATAACAAGTTTTACTGCATCAGCTTAAATCTAAAAAAAAAATCAAGAAGGGAGTTTATTTCCTTGTGATAAATTTCAAGTATTAGGAAGAGTGCTTTGGAGAACATGGGAATTAATTAGTGCAGAGTCTTTTGTTTGTTCCATTCCTAGGTCATTAACTTCCATCTAGCCTCCAGCAGTCATGACCCAGAGTTATTGTCTTGTATTCATATTGACTTTCATGGGAAAACACTTTGCTTGAATTCTAACGGAAAAATACCCATATCATCAGCCAAGCCTAAAATGAACAACAAAGAGCCAATAAAAAGAGATTTGTGCATTCAAAAGAGCATTGAGGCAGAAAGCCAGAATTCTACTTAGGTTTGACCACTTGGAAACATTCTGTTTTATGAAATCAACCCATAATGGAGTAATAAGGATAATATTAATACAGATGCTTTGAAGTGGCTGGAATTTCTTCTAAGGGATTTTTGTTGTTAACAAAGATTTAGGGAGTCAGTGAGTGAGTCCTCTACTCCTCACAGTGTCCGTATTAGGTAAGAGGGGAAGACAGTGGTCCCACACCTTGGCAGTCTGTTAGCATCACCTGGGAGCTCTCAAAGACCCTGATGCCTGGTTACACCCATCGCTAATTAAGTCAGTCGCCTTGGAGGTGGCACCCCATCCCCCGTTCTCTTGATCCCCAGCTCGAGTACTCAGATCACTCGGATCTTAAAGAAAACAGTTTCAGTGCAGTGAATAATTTAAAATCAGAGCCCCAAGGGTGCTTCTTTGCTGGCCTCTCCTAGAAGGGTTTCCAACCCCACTACTTTAGTAAAGTTGCTTTTGTCAGATTTTTCCATTGTCAAACCAATGATTCATTCTCAGACCTTGTCTTGTTCAGCCTATTGCCATAACCGATTACTCCTAGCTCCTTAAATACAAGCATCATTTTCTCTTTATTTTCCTAAGTTGCTGGCTGCTGCTTCTCAGCCTCCATTCTTGCCTCCACGCAGTGGGGGTCAGACTGCCTACACTCACTTCATAGGTCATCTCCTCTAGCTTTGCTGCTTAGCTAATGCCTCCGTGTAGATGTCTAAAAGGCATATCAAATATTACAACTGTAAAGGAAAGTCTTGCTTTTGTCTCCTCCAAATTGTATTCTTCCTCTAAATTTTGCCATTAACAAATAGCAAGCCTAGTTAAGTCATAAAGATCAGTAATACTAGGGCTGGCATTGTGGCATAGCAGGTAAAACTGTCACCTGAGACCTTGGCATCCCATGTAGACATGGGTTCAAGTACCAGCTGCTCCACTTCCAATGAATTCCCTATAAATGTGCCTGGGAAAGCAGTGGAGGATGGCCCAAGTCCTTGGGCCCCTGCACCCACATGGGAGACTGGGAAGAAACTCCTGGCTCCTGGCTTTGGCCTAGTCCAGCGCTGGCTGTTGCAGCCATCTTCATCTTCTCCCTCTCTCTCTCTCTCTTTTTTTTTTTTTTTTTTTGGACAGGCACAGTGGACAGAGAGAGAGAGAGAGAGAGAAAGGTCTTCCTTTGCCGTTGGTAAGGTCTTCCTTTGCCGTTGGTTCACCCTCCAATGGCCGCCGCGGGCGACGCGCTGCGGCCAGCGCACCGCGCTGATCTGAAGGCAGGAGCCAGGTACTTCTCCTGGTATCCCATGGGGTGCAGGGCCCAAGTACTTGGGCCATCCTCCACTGCACTCCCTGGCCACAGCAGAGAGCTGGCCTGGAAGAGGGGCAACTGGGACAGAATCCGGCGCCCCGACCGGGACTAGAACCCCGTGTGTCGGTGCCGCAAGGCGGAGGATTAGCCTAGTGAGCCACGGCGCCAGCCCATCTTCTCTCTCTAACTCTGCATTTCAAATAAATGTAATAAGTCTTTTTTTTTTTTATTTGACAGGTAGAGTTTTAGACAGTGAGAGAGAGACAGAGAGAAAGGTCTTCCTTCCGTTGGTTCACTCCCCAAATGGCCGCTATGGCCGGCGCTGCACTGATCCAAAGCCAGGAGCCAGGTGCTTCCTTCTGGTCCCCCATGGGGGTGCAGAGCCCAAGCCCTTGGAACATCCTCCACTGCCCTCCCGGGCCACAGCAGAGAGCTGCACTGGAAGAGGAGCAGCCAGGACTAGAACCCGGCGCCCATATGGGATGCTGGCACTGCAGGTGGAGGATTAACCAAGTGAGCCACTGCACCGGCCCCCTGTAATAAGTGTTAAAAATGAATCAGTAATCCTGTAGAGTAGGGATTGCTTTTCCAATTTAGAGATGAGGAAATCAAAACTCAGAGGTGAGGCAGCTTTTGAGCCAAGGTTTGAATCTTGAGCTAACATCCTTCATGCCTGATGATGATGGCTGCTTTACTCCCCAGTTCTCTGCATTGTTCTGTTTTTTACAGACAGAAGCTGCTAGGAGCAGTGACTGTTTGATATTTCTCTAAAATTCATTCCTTGCAGAAAGAATTACAGCATAAGCATGAAATGTAGTGGCTTAATGTCAATTCTCACAACAGCACTACAATGCAGGCAAAGGACAGATATCTGCTCTTCTGCTGTTAATGAGAATACTGAGGGGGCCGGCGCTGTGGTGCAGCGGGTTAAAGCCCTGGCCTGAAGCGCTGGCACCCCATATGGGTGCCGGTTCTAGTCCCGGCTGCTCCACTTCCGATCCAGCTCTTTCCTATGGCCTGGGATAGCAGTAGAAGATGGCCCAAGCCCTTGGGCCCCTGCACCCATGGGGAGACCTGGAAGAAGCTCCTGGCTCCTGGCTTCAGCTTTGGCACAGCTCCGGCCGTTGCAGCCATCTGGGGAGTGATCTCTCCCCAGATGGAAGACCTCTCTCTCTGACTCCACCTCTCTCTGTAACTTTGTCTTTCAAATAAATAAAATAAATCTTAAAAAAAAAGAATACTGAGAAAAGTAGGAAAAGGAGAAAAGTTACTAGAAGAAATTCCTCCTGAATTAACGGTAGAATTAAGATCAAGTTAAAGAACTTGCTTCATTTTATCCTTCAGACTGGAAGTTAGCACCTAGAAGCTTTGCCCATGTTCTTATCTTTGGTGAAATGATTGTCTAGACAGCATTTGGTAAGGTGATAGTGGTAAGACTTATCTGCAGCCTGTTTAGAAACAAGTGTCTCCGATTTTAAAGATATATCTATCATTTGTCTTTCTCTTAAGATACGTGTTTATGAGTCAGTGTTCTTTACCTCTTACAGTATCTTAAAAATTATGATGAAATGTGGTATGACTTTAAGCATAACGTATTGGATATCCTAAGAACAGTATTTGTTCTTGCCCTCGAGAATTTTGTACCCGGCTGCTGATCAGACTGATCCCAATTATAGATGCTCAAGTTGCAAGTGGAAAGGGCTACATTTGAGACATAGAATAGAAGCTGCTTCCTTTTCTCTTTGCTGCATGCTTCGCTTTTGGTTTGCAGGCCCAGTTATCTTGCAGTCTTATGTAGACCCCCTGTTTAATTTAGAAACAGGAAATCATTGTAGAAAGGAAGAATAACCCCAGTGAGAAGCCACAGGCCCACCAAGCTTTGCTTCAAATGTAATGCTTAAAAATAGTGTTAATGTGTCTAGCCTTGTTAGAGGGTGAAAGGGGAGGTTGCTGTGTGTGTTTTGGTGGCCTACCTTTCAAGGAAAGTTGCCCATGATCCTCTTATTGACATTGGAAACTCAGTTGTCATTCAAGAATTTTCTCTCACCTACATTTGGAGGAAGACTTTCCCATTTGTTGTGAGAGGGGTGAGGCCTGAGGCATCCGTCTTGCTCACCACTTCCTCCCCTGTAGGCTCTGAACACCTATGTGTCCTCATCCGCCCATAGCCCTTGCTATCTAGACCCCATGTGCCAAGTTCCTTGTTTTTCCCAACTGTTTCTCAGAGTTCTTCTCTGCAAATTAGCTCTGCCTGTCCCCACACATGCTGAGCAGAGAGAGTTTCATCATGACTGGCATTTCTCCTGTGGTGTTGCCACTTCCTGCTGGTAGGCTGTGCTTACTAAGTGGATTTATTGACTTTGACACTTTATTATTATTGCCACAACTGGATTTATCCATCCAAGCATGGGCCTGTGTTACTAGACTGCTAGTAGGGCCTGGTGTTATAGATTGTGACTGGTTTATATAGGGAAGAGGAACCCATGATCAGCATCACCACGTTCCATCACAAATCCTGTAAACTAATTATCCTATCAGTGGATGGTTTCATGCTAAGGCACAGGTGGTTAACTCTCAAGCTAACAGACAAGCAACAGCCACAGCCACCCACTAAAACACACATGGATAAAACCAGTGTAGTTCTTAAGAGTCCCCAGTCTAAGATTTGGGGTGTTGCTGTGTGCAGTCTTTACTACAGGTAATCATAGTAGACTGGAAAAAAAATTCTGTGACTTAATAGCCCATTATTGCATGCAATAAATGTAAAACCAAAGCAAAGACAGTCTTGCAGGGCCGCAAAACTCAGCATGTCCGTCTGGAACTCCTTATCTCTACTGCCCTCTGAGTTTCATCCATGTCTAATACAGGTATGTCACGTGCCCCATTCTGATGGTTTTTATATTCATTAATGTTATCATCAACCACTGAATAACAGATGCTAGACAGGTGCCCAAGCCTCTTTTCTCTCCAAGATGTCTCTTTTCTCAACTTATTCCTCTTCTTCCAATACTATTGCTGCCTCAGTTGAGGCCTCCATCATTTCTTTCCTGAGCCATTGTAATAACTCCCTTTTAGTCTCTCATCCCTCTAATTCATTATCTGCATCTGCTTTTAGGATTACGTTTTAAAAGCATGAATTTGAGCATACCTTTCCCTTCATTAAAATATTTTTTACAGCTCTCATTAACTGTAGGAATCAGGCCAAAACTCCAGGTGACTGGACTCACCCTCTCCAGTGCCATCTGCTGATGCTCCCTTCCAGATACTCGGTACAAATGACCACTTATATTTCTAGAAAGTTCCAGGCTCCGGGAGCTACTTTGCCTTTTGTCCATGCTGCTCTCTTGCTCTACATGGCCTTTCTTAACTCCTTCAAGACTCAACTTGAAAACTCAACTCAAATTATCCTACTTAGGAAAAATTCCAACCTGGCCTCAGCATCCCCATGATGACTTACTGTCCCCCTTAGATTCCCAAAGCCTTTGAATATACATCTGTAACTAGCACTTAGTACTCGCTTTTTAATTATGTGGTCACAGGTGCATCTCAATGGATAGATTACAAATTCCTCATGGAAACGTTGTTGGCTGTTCATTCATTTTATATTCCCAGGACATAGCTCAAAGTAAAATTTGAGGTATTGGTTGAATTAACGGATGAAAAATGAATAAAGGTATATATTCAGGGATAAACATTTTAGCAGGTTGCTAACTTTCCTCTGTAATTTTTACATCAAATAATAAAGACTAGAGCTAAATTAAAACCAGAGACACACAAAAAGCTAATTCTTGAACCAGAGTCCTATTTACATACCATTATGTGGTATGAAGCAAAACTCACTTTCACTATGGACCATTACAAAAATGATTTTCATTATTTTTAGATAGAACCAATAGAAAAAACTTACATGTGTGAAAATAAATCATATTTGTCAAAATCAAATTATTTCTAGCCCTCCATAGACTCAAAGAAGCTATCTCAACAACATGATTTTGTCCTGGTCAGAATGATTGAAAGAACTACTCAGTTTTCAATTTTCCTTTGTGTTTTCTGTATCCTGCTCTTCGCTAAATAACCAAGATGGACAGTTTAACATTTGGTGGATTTGACATTTCCATTATCCACAGTCTAGGTAAATGGAATGCATTTTGAAAAATTTTTCTTTTTATTGTGTTTTACCCATTTCAGGAACTATTTATTCCAAGACTAGCCTTGGCAAGAGAGCAGGCTTCAAGGTTATGGTTTGTGTGTGTGCAAATACTTGGCAGTCCCTGGAGCTGCAGAGCTGAAGCAGTCACAGTGATTTCTCTGTAATTTAATTTGCTAAAGTGAATAACCATTTTGCATTCTGCCAAAACTGATGATGTGCTGCCTTTTTATTGATGAGAAAGCAGCATGGTCAGCTCCTTCTCTCCTAGGGGCTCTGATGGGCCTGGACAGGTTTAGAGTACAGTCAGCGATTGAGGGTGGGTGCCCTCTGGGTGGCTCCTTGGATTGGTTTTGAAATTGGATTTTTCAATATTGAATCTCCCACACAATATCAGCTGGTGGTTTTCAAACTTTTGATCCGCATCAAGAAACTCATTTTTGAAAACAACCCCATACACACACACTCCAATGTTAATAAATATTGGGAGATAACACTTCTGCCGTGTGCTGTATAGGCTGAAGTTTTTGATCCATTCTAGTTGTTCAAAGTTGGTCAGATTATGTAACATCTTTTAACTTCAGTTTTCTCATCTGTTAATTGGGGGTATCAATCCTGCCTCAGTAATTTTGTTAGAATTAACTGTAACTCACACAAAGTACCTGGTATTGTGCATGACACAGTAATCCCAGTTTATATAAATAGTATTTGAGTAATTTATGTTCTAGAAGACTTGCTTTAGGTTTAGCATAAAACCTGACTTTTGCTGTTATAAACTTACTTTTATGAGATATTTTTCTATGAGGCAATGACTAGAAATAAAAATGACTTGAAATAAAAATTAAGGCCCGTTTAAAACTCTAAACTTTGGCGTAATCGAGACCATTGTCATTTTAGATGTCTAAATGCACTCTTTCTGAATGTATTAGCTATTCTCTAAGCCACTCATTGGAGAAACTAATATTATTCATTACCAAAATTGAATCCTTGTTAAGTGCCTCAGGGACTGGGGACCAAAAACGAAGGCACTAATTGAAGTGTGTAAAATAAGAAATTGAAGTGCTGCAAAGACTAGACAATCGAGTCTTGTAAAATAGCTCCTTTAGATGCCATTCTGCAGTGAACACAAATTTGGAAGAAGGAGTGTGGTTCATGGAACAGAACCACAGATTCGATACGCTGGAACAGACATACTCACAAAGAGGCCAGCAGTGGGTTTCTGAGCGGTTGTTCTTGCTGGAGTCTGGTACAAGCTGTAATCGGGCACTTAGGGACTCTGGGGTCTGCTTCCTGCATCCTTGTCCCAAGGTTACTACCTTGTCCCTTGTCCCAGATAGTAACAACTCTACCTGAGCTAACATGGGAACTGTGTCTTTCTTTAATTTTCAAAATGTAATATTTGAATAAATGTCAGAGATAAAATCATAGCAAAGTATAAGGTATACTACTTCTTTAAAATAAGCATAGTTTCCCTTGGACTCACAAATATCTCTGAACTAAATAGAGTGCTTTTACATAGACAGTTGATGCTTACAGAAATCCAGGCAGATCAAACATTGTTACCATCTTCATTTTAAGGAACTGAATTACTAGGCTAATACTTATACGACAAGGAAGTTTTAACATCTAAAGCTGATGTCTGTCAACTGATATAACCTTCAAAGATGAATAAACTGTACTTTTCCATAACCCGGATCCCACAGAGACACACACTACAGTGATCCTTCTGTATCCTTTAGCAACTGAACAAGAGATTAAATAAATCGGTACCATCCCTTAGATGTGTGATTGTGCTGTGGCTACAAGTTATTAGCAAAGTTACCTGGGTTGTCTTCCATAGCAGGTCCTCCATGAGCGCAGTTGCTTGAATTACAGACACCTTGGGCAAAACGTTAAGTTACCTGAGCAACGAAAAGATTTGCTCTGAGTGCTTACCTTGCACGGGGAGCCAGGACAGCAAGCTCACCACCCTCCACCACATACTGTGCTGTGCTGCTGTGACACTCTGTCCACTTCCTCTGGATTCTGAAATCAGTGGAGAGGAGCAGTTTCTTTTGAAGAGGGGAGGCGGTGGCTCTGTGACCTCACGTGTACCAACTCCCCAGCTGCTCTGGGAGCCCCCTTTTAGTTAACTACCCCCAAAACACTTCCTGGCGGAACATTTTGGAGACTACGTATGTCACCATGATTATAGAGGTGTGAGTTGTGTGTTGGTGACAAAATTTGTTCTACCACAAGTGGGCAGTACTGGTAGGTCAACCAGTTGTGAGGTTTTGGGTGAGAAAGAGTGGGAGAGATCATAAAACATCCCTGTGTGGTGATGTCAACCTTTTACTTTTCTAGTTTACTAGATTATTTAGATGATTTTTGCTCAATCCTTGTGAATATTCATTTATATATATTTTAAAGATGTATTTATTTATTTGAGTCAGAGGCACAGAGACAGAGAGATAGAGAGAGAGAGAGAGAGAGAGAGAGAGAGGGAGAGAGGGAGAGAGAGCTCTTACATGCCCTGGTTTACTCCCAGGTGGCCACACTGGCCAGCTCCTCCTGGCTCCTGGCTTTGGATTGGCACAGCTCTAGCCGTTGTGGCCATTTGGGAGTGAACCAGTGGATGGAAGACCTCTTTCTCTCTCTCTGCCTCTGCCTCTCTGGAACTCTGCCTTTCAAATAAATAAATAAATAATTTTTTTTAAAAAAAAATAAAGAATTAAAGAATTTGCCTGAAGTGACATAGTAAGTCAGATGAACTGAGACTACAAGTTAAGGCTTTTGTCTTTGATATCTATATAGAGAAATCAATAATTCTTTTTTTTTTTTTGACAGGTAGAGTTAGAAAGAGAGAGAGACAGAGACAGACAGAAAGGTCTTCCTTCCATTGGTTCACCCCGCAAATGGCTGCTATGGCCAGCGCTGCACTGATCCGAAGCCAGGAGCCAGGTGCTTCTTCCTGGTCTCCAATGCGGGTGCAGGGGCCCAAGCACTTGGGCCATCCTCCACTGCCTTCCTGGGCCACAGCAGAGAGGTGGACTGGAAGAGGAGCAACTGGGACTAGAACCCGGCACCCATATGGGATGCTGGCACCACAGGCGGAGGATTAACCAAGTGAGCCACATGCCGGCCCCTGAGAAATCAATAATTCTATATAATCATGGTAGTATACATAATTACTATTATATAACATAATTACTATTTTATATGTATATTTTAAAAGATTTATTTATTTGAAAGTCAGAGTTACAGGGAGAGAAGGAGAGAAGAGAGAGAGAGAGAGAGAGAGAGAGAGAGAGAGAGGTCTTCCATCTGCTGGTTTACTCCCCAGATGGCTGCAGTGGCTGGCGTTAGATCAGGCCAAAGCCAGGAGCCAATAGCTTCATTTTGGGCCATCTTCTGCTGCTTTCCCAGTCCATTAGCAGGTGAGACAGAAAGTAGTGCCCATATGGGATGCCGGTGTTGCAGGTGTCAATTTTACCAGTTGTGTCACAATTCTGGTCCCTATTATATATATGATATATACTATAATTGCTGTCATATGTATAATTTAAATCAGTAATTAAACTGCAAACAATTAGGTAAATTACAATATAATTTAATTAAGTGGTAATTAAATATATTTATTTTTTTATCCATGGGGTTCCCTCCAGACACTTCCAGTTTTTATAGTTAAGCCTCCTTGGGTGTAGAAGCTATGGCTTTCTTGCGAATGTCTTCTCCTTATTTTGGGGTGATGTTTTATTGTTGCGCCTTGTCTCCTGCTCCCTTGATAACACCACAGGAAAGTGAGGGTGATATCTCCTTCAGCCTCCTGTAGAGGGTGTGGGTTGTCCATGGCTACTTAATAATATCTTACATTTCCACGAGAAGAATGCTATTGTCTGTAGGATTTTCTGACACCGCCCGTCAAGGCTTGGGAGGATGGCAATTTATTTCCAGGAGTCGGCAATGAGTCTATGCATAAGAACCGGTAGATTTTCCAGATCTTGAGCTTATTATCTAACCCCAATGTATAAGGAAGTGAAAAGAAATCACTTCTACAGAAACAAAAGTAAAGGGGTCCTCCTGGCACTTCTCACTGCAAGCCAGTGGACCAGTTTCAAATTAAATTCTGCTAGGGGTCCGGAGAAGGGCCATCTTGCCTATCACTTTTCCAGTTGTTTCCTGTAATCTTGTAAGTGTATTAGAATGCATAGAAACACAGGTGGGAATAGCAGAAGGTATACAGGTCTCCGATGACCAGAGAATCAACCTACATTTACCGTGTGGTCTGTTCCCCACATCTGCTGATTGCATGGGGTGCTGGTGCAACACCTGGGAATCAAAGGGCCTTCTGTCTGCGAGTTGGTGCCCGTGAAATTCACCAGGTGTTGACTTAGCTGGAAACAGCCAGGTGATTGCTTTCCATTTCATTCTCCTACTAAGACACACACTTGATTTTGTTTTCCTTCTGCTCAAAAACTTACAGGGATTCCCTTTTTCCTGAAGTCCAAACTCCAGCAGCTCCTTCAAGGCCATTCACACCTGCCCCCAAGCACTTTTTCAGTCTCCTTTTCTACTCCTCCTCAAATACACCCAAGCTGGGCCAGCGCTATGGTTCAGAGGCTTAAAGCCCCAGACTAAAGCACTGCCATCCCACATGGGCGCTTTGGGCCCCTGCACCTGCATGGGAGACCCAGAGGAAGCTCCTGGCTCCTGGCTTTGCCCTGGCTCAGTCCAGGTTGTTGCGGCCATTTGGGGAGTGAACCGGAGGATGGAAGATCTCTCTCTCTCTCTCTCTCTCTCTCTCTCTCTCTCTTCTATCTCTCTGTAACTCTGCCTTTAAAAACAAACACCCTGAGAAGATTGCTTGCTTGCCATATGTCAAGCATATGAGACAATTTCATAATTATAGTTTTCACAGCTCTTTCCATCTAAAATGGGCATTTCTAGTCTTCTTCCAAGGCCCAGATCAAATGTAGCTTTTTCTCAGAGAGACGTGGAACCTAAGGATGAGGAGCAAAGACTCCAGAACCAGTCCTGCATTCAAAGCCTCAGTTTCCTCACCTGTGAAATGGGTATAACGACAGCACCTACTTGTGTGGTATTTGTAAGAGTTTTAAGAGTTAACATAGGGGCTGGCACTGTAGCAGAGTGGGTTGGGCTGCCACTTGTAGTGCCAGCATCCCATATGGGCACCGGTTCAAATCCCAGCTGCTCCATTTCTGATCCAGCAGGTGGAAGACCTCTCTCTCTGCCTCTCCTCTCTCTGTATAACTGACTTTCAAATAAATAAATAAATATTTTGTAAAAAGAGTTAATGTAATTAGTGCCTGGCATACAGTATGCATTATGAAGACTTAGCTGTTACTAACCTTCAGTCTCCCAGAAAAATCAATTTTCGGTTCTTCTTTGCTCCCGTAATAGTTTCCTTATCTCTCTTACAAATTTTTCTTCTGATTTGTATTGTATTTAACTTGCTATCCATCTGTCTCTCTTGCTAGATTCTGAGTTTACCAACAACAGAATTCGTTTCCTATTTGTTATTTCCAAGGCCGGACACAGACCTGTTCATGGTAGGGTTGATTTTAAAATATCTTTATGGAGTTATTACTGACCTAATGAACTGTACATACTTATTAAAGTGTATAATTTGACAAATTTTGATGCATGTGTGCACCATCAAGATAGTGAGCATATCTGCTGTGCTCTGAAGTCTGTGTTCGTCCCAGATTCGTGCTTCATTGGACTTGATCCCCAATGGGACACTACGAGGAGGCAGCTCTTTGGGAGGGCCTGAGGCCAGGAGAGTTTTTTTTTTTTTTTTTGACAGGCAGAGTGGACAGCGAGAGAGAGAGAGAGAGAGACAGAGAGAAAGGTCTTCCTTTTTCTGTTGGTCCACCCTCCAATGGCCACTGCAGCCAGTGCACCGCGCAGATCCGAAGCCAGGAGCCAGGTGCTTCTCCTGGTCTCCCATGTGGGTGCAGGGCCCAAGCACTATGGGCCATACTCCACTGCCTTCCCAGGCCACAGCAGAGAGCTGGACTGGAAGAGGAGCAACCGGGACAGAGTCCAGTGCTCCGACCGGGACTAGAACCCGGGGTGCCAGTGCCACAGGCGGAGGATTAGCCTATTGAGGCATGGCACCGGCCAGGAGAGCTCTTCTTACAAAAGTAGCCAAGAGGTCTGGTCAGCCCCATGCTTTCAGCCACGTGAGGATGCAGAGAAAACACCCATCTGTGAGGAACAGGCTCTCACCAGGCCCAAATCTGCCAGCACCTTGACCTTGGGCTTAACCTCCAGAACCATGAGCATTAAATTCTGCTATTTGTAAACTCCCCTGTCTAAGGTACAAGCAACCCGAGTGAACCAAGACAGCACCCATCATCCCCTGATTTTCTCCCTGCTTGTTACAATCCTCTCTCCCACCCTGGGGCACCCTCTGGTCTGCTTTTCCTTCAGGGTTTAGGGTTTCTGGTGAGTGGGATCAAACAAGGGTTTCACTTCCTTCACTTGGCATAATCATCTTGAGATTCCTGGGTGATAGAGAGATGTGACAAGAGGTCATTCCTCTCTGTTGCACAGTAGTGATTTATTACATGAGCATTCTTCAGTTTGCAGTTAACTTGTAGATGGGCTTGTTTTCCATAGCATGGTTTTTAGTCGTTGCTTATTTAAACTGAATGTAGAGGGGCTGGCACTGTGGCATAGTGCATAAAGCCTCTGCCTACAATGCTGGCACCCCATGGAGCGCTGGTTCAAGTCCCAGTCACTCACTTCTGATCCAGCTCTCTGCTATGGCCTGGGAAAGCAGTGGAAGATGGCCCAAGTCCTTGGGCCCTGTACCTGTGGGAGACTCAGAAGAAGCTCCTGGCTCCTGGCTTCAGATTGGGCCAAATTTGGCCATTGTGGCCATTTGGGGAGTGAACCAGCAGATGGAAGACCTCTCTCTGCCTCTGTTTCTCTGTAGCTCTGCCTTTCAAATAAATAAATAAATCTTTTTTTAAGATGTATTTATTTATTTGAAAGGCAAGGTTACACAGAG